CACTAATAAATATTTATGTACCTAAAGTTTTTTTTCATCTGATATAGGCAACATGAATAATTGTTAACATTTATTTTTACAACTAACCTATTACACTTTACAGCTGGCTATATTAAGTATAAATTATGGTGCAGTTTTATACCTATAGGTAGTTACTATTGTAGGTATATACGTAAGTAACATGTTCCTTCAATTTATACAATTATACATTGCAACGTACCTACTACCTACAAATAATATTCTGCTCTAAAAGTCTCAACATAGTTCACACAAATATCAGATGTGTACATATTTTGTAAGTTATAAATATATAATACTATATAAGAATGTACTGTACTACTGCAGTAATTACATTACATTAGGTATAATATAATATTTTTTTATTATACTTAAATACCTATCTAACAATAGAAATTTAATATAATATAACGTTTTTAAATTTTTATGTCCATGTGTATTTGTAATTTTGCCGCAGATACGTAACTATTAAGTCGATGACAATATTGTAATATATTTGTATATATATGAATCCTATGTATTTTCTACGCAGCAAATAAGCAAGTCTAGTCAGTATAATAGTATGTACATAATTTCAGGAAAAGCAATCTTTTTCTCCTCCACTCAACTCATCAGCAACTGTGTGGCGGGGGTCGGAGGCGGTAGCGTCGGGCGCCCGTCGCTGYGACCACGGTAGTGGGGCTCTCCCAGTCCCCTCCAATCCACTGTTCCACCGCCTCCAATGAGCGACGACGACGAAATCGAAATTCACTCTCCTGCAGCTAGACTCCTCTTTCTAATAGCTCTCCCCGACGGCGGCCGATTCCATCGCCACCCGTCGACGTTCTCACTTCTTACCATAGCCCCCGTCGAACACAGCAGCTACATAGCCACCGCTGCCGTCACCACTCGTCCACTCACCGCCACCCAGCGCGACCGCCGACGCCGCCGCGCCGCGGATCAGTCCGTGTTAGCTCGGCGGCAGTCGGCGCTCCCGCCACCCAATCCCGCGCGCACTCGACACTTAGACATAGCTYCACAAAGTACGGTGCTAGTGTGCTACTGCTACATCATTGTAGTAAAAGCGGGGTATATATTATGTAAAAAATATACATTACGTATATATTATTATAATTTATATTATGTAGTATAATATTTTACTGTTATACATTCATTCGGCTAGTTTATTAGCGTCCCTCCTACCCTCCACTGTTGAAGCTATTACACTAGCCTAGTAAAGTCAACCTCCACAGCAGCCATGAAATAATAATCATAACATATCTATTACCTACAGCATATTAATAATAATAATAATTATTATTATTATTTAGGTATCTATTTATTTATTCGGGCATCCCTCGTCGCGACCCGCGGCGTCACCGCCGTAATGCCAACAGTGCCGTACGCTGTACGTAATCTATTCGTTTAGTCGAACTTGTTGTAGTATTGCAGTATTGGTATAGAACTATAGACTATATTACTATAATATACAATTTACAATACACACGCACATACATACGCGCCAGACGCACACGCACGCACAAGCTCGGCTCTCACACACGCGCATGCACGCACGCGCGCACACACGCACACTCTAGCGCGCGCGCGCATATAATTATTTTATTAAATATTATTTACCCGATAGTGAAACTATAATAATAGTGTATACAATAAATTTCATTCCGATAACAGAAAAAAAAAAACATAGTTTAAAATGATATTTCCACTCTCGTTAATTATTATAATACGAACATTTACTTGTAAATCGATGTTGGTGACTAATTAAATTGATGTTTTTATTCAGTCGTGTATGTGTATCGCATCGTATTTTACATGCATATTATTATTGTTATTATTCAACTCTACCTATTTTGATAAATTAATTTTCATTCCTCGGCGATTATCAAACAATAAGCAGCTAAGCGTTCCGGTTTCATATACAAAATTTGTTCGGCTTGTTTTGTCGCGTACGAGCTTATTATTACTATTTACTAGTATTC